TTCAAGACAGGCATCGATGTGCGCCGACGCTACCCTTGCTAGATTGGTGTTGTTAATCGGTAACTTATTGCTTGACAACGTCTTGGCAAATCGTCGCGGAAAACAACATGAATGGATACATCCTTCGTAAAAATCTCTCCGAGTGCGTTCCACAGTTAAGTTGCAGCGCAAAGATAACAATCGATCTAATGCCCTCGCAACGGTAACGGGGAGTCTTCTTTTCAGAAAGGTAAAACAGTGGGTCCCCTTCAGCCATTTGGTCAGAGCAGTGAGAAGACATATGTTGCGATATGTTAACATTTCGATTGTTCTCATCAGTCGCAAACACAATACAAGCGGGAATCATGGACAGTTATATACAGGGGAAAAGGTTGATACACCAATCAAAATGTTAAAATCAAGACCACGGTAACTTTATTGATTGTCTCAATAGTTTCTGTGCGCACAACACAGGTTGATAAGCCCTAATTAACAAGGCCTCACTGATTGCCAAGATTAGCGGATTGTTGTTACGTAACAACACCTTGAACGCAGTCTCCGGGTTCACCTGATGTCGGGTTGCCAAGAGATGCTTGGTGATAGATGATGCGGGACTCCGGTTCATCCTCGGATCCACTCCGTTTTGTTGCGTCATCAGTTGTTCCAACCACCTCGGCACATGTTCAGCTACCCTCTGAGCTAACTGACGGTCAGTCCTGCCTATGTAAATGTCACCGCAACCGCAGGTGAACTGGTAAATGACGTGAGAGGCCGAACTGACTGATGAGTTGCTCTGACGGTCATGAAGAACAAGGCTTCGCGTTGTATGAATGAGTCGCAACTGGGCGGTCGCCTAGGTGCGCGTAAAGGCGGACCGGAGTTTATGTCCGATATCATTTGATACGTGGTCTCCTTTGAACGGCAGGAACAAGTAAACATTCTTTTCCTCTGCGGTTAACACCGGTATTTTCTCCTTGGGAGGCCTGCTGTGGATCTGAACGAACTTCTCAGGATACCCATTCGACACCAAGGTTTTGAACAAAAATTCTTCTTCAGCTTGCAACATTTCGGGACTTCATATTCGTCTGGCTCTGTAGAAAAGCGTTTTCACTAGGCCACGTTTATATGCGACCGGGGCAAAGCTGGAAAAGTGGAGGAACTGCCCACTCCAAGTTGCCTTGCGATGAACCGTACGCTGCAGTGTACCATCAGTCCGTCTCTTAATGAGTATATCCAAAAATGGCAGACTATCATGTTGCTCCAACTCATGGGACACTGATAGGTTTGGATGAATTGAATTCAGAGCTGCCAACAGCCGCGCAAAATGTTCCTGCCGTTCAAAGGAGACCACGTATCAAATGATATCGGACATAAACTCCGGTCCGCCTTTACGCGCACCTAGGCGACCGCCCAGTTGCGACTCATTCATACAACGCGAAGCCTTGTTCTTCATGACCGTCAGAGCAACTCATCAGTCAGTTCGGCCTCTCACGTCATTTACCAGTTCACCTGCGGTTGCGGTGACATTTACATAGGCAGGACTGACCGTCAGTTAGCTCAGAGGGTAGCTGAACATGTGCCGAGGTGGTTGGAACAACTGATGACGCAACAAAACGGAGTGGATCCGAGGATGAACCGGAGTCCCGCATCATCTATCACCAAGCATCTCTTGGCAATCCGACATCAGGTGAACCCGGAGACTGCGTTCAAGGTGTTGTTACGTAACAACAATCCGCTAATCTTGGCAATCAGTGAGGCCTTGTTAATTAGGGCTTATCAACCTGTGTTGTGCGCACAGAAACTATTGAGACAATCAATAAAGTTACCGTGGTCTTGATTTTAACATTTTGATTGGTGTATCAACCTTTTCCCCTGTATATAACTGTCCATGATTCCCGCTTGTATTGTGTTTGCGACTGATGAGAACAATCGAAATGTTAACATATCGCAACATATGTCTTCTCACTGCTTTGACCAATTGGCAGTGTCTTGGAGGGTACCGCAAAAATGTGTCTACGCAAATCTTTTGATCGAAGGCACAGATGATAATGTCAACATTCTGCTAAGGAAGCACTGACCCGGAGTGTGCATTCGATCCGATCGAGATTGTCTGCGCATTTGGTATGGTCCCAGACTACATCCAAAGCGCCCAGCTACAATGGAAGTGGTTAACCCAAGAGACGGAGCTTCACATCGACTGGAGTTTGTGATCATGGAGGAGCACATGCCGATACTCGGCATTGATTCGATCCAGTCTCTCGGTTTTGTTGTTTTTAATCATGATCGTTTTGTGCATGCTTGCCAAGGGGAAACCTATATTAGTGACCAGTATCCGTCTGTGTTTAGCCTAGGTTTAGGAAAGTTTAAGGGAACCGCTCACTTGTCCTTAGATGCTTGGATACTATGGACAGCGTTACCGGCTAGGAGAGTTCCATTTGTACTGTGTGACAGGTTCTCCACTGAATTGAGCAAATTGGTGAGAGAGAATGTGATTGCCAAAGTCGACGAGCCAACGACTGGGTTAGTCAGGTCAAAATCATTACGAAGAAGACGGGCGAACTGCCTGTGTGTTTTGACCCAAAACCGTTGGATAACGCCTTGCGTAGAGAGCATTATGTCCTACCTACCCTAGAAGACATTTTGCAACATTTGACCAAAGCTAAGTGTTTCACGAAGTTAGACTTCTCTTCGGCAATCTGGCACGTGGTTCTAGATGATGAATCCAGTCTCTTTACTAACTTTGCAACACCGTTCGGGCGTTGTCGTTGACTGCGTTTACCGTTTGGTTTGAAGGTGTCGAGTGAAATATTTCAAAAGCGATTGGTGCAAGCGGTAGACGATTTAGATGGGGTAACATGTGTGCCAGACAATGTTTTGATCTATGGCTCGACAGAAGAAGAGCATGACGTTAATCTCCGCCGTTTCTTACAGCGTTGTGTGCAAAAAACATCAAGCTTAAACATGAAAAGTTTGAACTTCGGAAAGACGAGGTGCCTTTTCCATGGGCATTTGCTAACAACATAAGGGATCAGGGGCGATCCAGAAAAATTAAGGCAATTCGAGAGATACGGCGTCCTAATGACGTGAAGGGAATCCACTGCTTAAGCGGTACGGTGAATTACTTGAGCCGTTTTACGCCAAGACTAGCTGATATCATGACGCCGATCAGGAAGTTAACTCACAAAGGAGTAAAGTGGAGTTGGGCGAAAGAACAGGAAACCGCGCTTGCAACTATTAAGCACCTCATCAGCAACGCGCCTGTACTCGGTTACTACGATCCAGCGCAGCATTTGGAGGTACAGTGTGACAGTAGCCAAGACGGAATAGGTGCTATCAATTGTTCATTTGTTCTCCGAGCTTGGCCGTTTTGTCGCAAACGTTTCACCACCATGCGCGATGGCATCCTCAGTGCAGTGATATGCGGCGTGCAATCTTACTAAATAAATCCTCCATCCATGATCGACCTGCAGGTGACTTTTGAACGTGGCAGTGTCGATTTAGGTCCCGTGACCTCTACCCACTTTCCCCAAGGTTAAAGTCGGCGCCCGAGTTGTTCTGCCTTAAACCGCGTGACAAAATGTTCTTTATTTCTTTCTGTCGTAGTGGTTCGTATATTGAATCGATGAACATGAACAACGCAATGTGGTATACAAAGTACCTTGCCGAGATTGCGAAAGGGATTATGTTGGCCAGACGGAAAGAAAACTGGTAACAAGGATACAAGAACATAAAAGAGCCTGTGTAAAGCATTATGCATCGTCGCTAGTTTCATTGCATGTAGATGAAGAAGGACATCGCTTCGATTGGAGCAAAGCAGAAGTCCTGGCAGGGGGTGAAACAAGAAAAGAAAGAGAATTCTTGGAAGCTTGGTTCTCAACGAAACACTCAATCAATATGCGCGTAAATATATATATATATATATATATATATATATATATATATATATATATATAATATATTGTCGGCATCCGTGAAGGCTGGCAGTCAACATACAGAAGTGAATAGACTCATACGCTGAGAAATTGTGCTGCAGTCGTTTCGTCACCAGCCGAGGTGACATCTTCAGTGTCTCAGCTCGTTGAGTGCGTCGTCGCCTCTTGATCGATGGGCAAGTGACGTTCGAAATTGGCCTTTTCGCTTCATATCATCTGACCTTCGGTGGTTTGTTGTTCGGCCGCCGCTGCTTCCTGCCTTATGTTAGGATTTCGGACCTGTGCAATCTCTTTCTTCCTCAATGGTTGGTACACCGGATCTATACACAGGTTTATGGAGTGTTCTGTAGTAAACCACGCCTCAACGAGCTGTACGCTAAGCAGTGAAATAATAATAAATAATAATGTGTCAGCTGTACGCCGTAACGGCGCTTCGCTGCCGCGCAACCACCATCAGTCGCGCGCGGGCTGAGTATACAGCGAGGAGGCCCACCTCTACGCGGATTCGAACCGGTGACCTTATGGTTGCAAAGCAAACGTGCAGAGCACTGGCCACCGGCCGACGCTAAACAGTGAGGCACTGAAGATGTCACCTCGGCTGGTGACGAAACGTCTGCAGCACAATTTCTCAGCTCGGAGAACAAAGGAAACACAGAACAGTCAACCTGAGCTACAAGTATTCCGATTTATCGCAAAGACTCATAGGTTTTCGAGATACGCCTGCAGCGCTAAGATCAAGGTCGAAAGTTAAGAGTTTGAACGACGACCGAGCGAAAGATCAGATGAAGCAAAGAAGTGCCGAAAGTCTTGAGGCCGATAAGTGAAACAGTTGATTATCTAGTAGGGTTGCCACGTGTACAGTGCGTTGCTACCGGAAGGAAGGACTACGTCTCCAAGGTTACCCGTGTATGTAGCTATAGAAAAGTTCAGTCAAGAAGTTAGGTGACTCAGGTAGAAAGTAAGTAAGTGATTATACAATTCAGATCAAGTAAAAGCAATGTATGGTGCAAAGCAGTTCCAGTAAAAATGTGCATACTTGGACGCTAATTGCCAATCTATAGTAACAGGAGAGGCAAAATCGAGACTCACCACCAGAGTAGTAATCCTTGGTTAAAAAACCGGAACAGTCAAATGGAAGTCCATGAGAAAAGTGTGCCTGAGATGGAAGTGAGCCGTCGAGCAGTTCGCAGACGGGGAGCCATGGCAGTATGCCAGCTGCTAGCATAAGGCAACTTGCATAGCCCATTGCATGGGCACATTTCAAGCGTCTTTGGAATTGTTGCACAGCCAAGAGGTTCTCCACGATACGTCCAACCTCTGTTTGTGTTGAAGTGTAAATGGATCAGCGTTCGATAGTTCCTGAACGATGTGTTTGGAGGGCGCTATCTTATCCCAATTGGCGCACAACAAACCAATGAAAGCCAACATGATTGACGAGCACAGCAACACCAAGCGACTGCATTCTCCAAGTGGTAGGAGGGTAATGCTTTTTTCAGAAGAGTGCTGGTCAAGAACACGAGCAGGAGAAGTGGTGAGAAGCAAGAGCACAAGCTGAGCAACAGCGACGAGAGATAAAATGAGAATGAAGGAATTAACGTCGGTACGGCGATGAGCTAGGCTAAATCCACTTTTATAGTAGCTCCACTGTTCTACCGACAGATGCCGATGCAGAGGATGATGGGGATTACTACTGAGACAGGGTGTACAGCGCCAAAACGGTGGACAAACGTTCCCATCGATATTTGAGCGTGGAAGTCCCGTGGGGTGTTTACACTGTGTAGCACTAGGAGGGTGGACTGAAGTTGTAGTGTAGTCACCACTTCTTGGCCTAAGCTTTGTCGGCAAACGACCAAGAGTAAACTCAGTCGGATCTGCAGAATTCGAGTTGATGGTCTTGTTCGCCAATACTACCGGAACATCGCAGTTGCTCTTCCGTTTAGCGCGATCTTGCGTGCTCAGTAAGGAGGCGAGACGAGCACTCCACTTTTGAAGTCTCTTGGATAGCGAGTAAGATCTTGCATTACACGACGTGGCCGCAGTCGACGTCAGAAGATGGACTCCAGCCACATCATAGAGCTCGGCTTCGGGCCCTCGCCGCGTAGACAACTTCAAACCAGCACGTAGTTCCAAGTTGCGCTCACGATTGTCCGCAAGATCGGTTGACTTTTGAGGTGCAAGCCAATTCTGGTACTCAGGACCACTATTGGAATGAGCAAAATTACGAGTTCCGGTTGACATGGAGCCAAACAGAGGCGCAAGCCGTCCAGTCTGTTCAAGTACAAAACACTGAACCACCTGTCATGATGAATGCTGAAAGGATATAGGTTGAGGGATGTTCAACATGTGTATGGAAGACATAAATAAATACTGGATAAATGAATAAAAAACAATCGACAGAAACGATAGTGTATCAGTAATACATGAGTGGTTGTGCTGAGGTTTCGCTTTCGTACAATCGTAAGTGACTGTATGGGGGCTGTGATACCGCAAACACGCCCAAACACAAACGGGAGCAGGAACTCGAGACCGGGCGTTGGGGCTGCAAACCAAACGTTTCACACACTACACTGCAGATAACCAAAAAGAATTGGTAAACTGACAAACCTCATGACCGCCTAATTCTACAGCCAATTTGCTCATGAACATAATAAAAATATCTAAGTTCTGATTAGGGAAAAATTGAGGGGACCGCTATGTTCACAGGGATTAACCAACAGACAACTCAGAGGATAAATTGTTCGATTTAAGATGCTCGCACAGCGATTATCCAGTTGTAGGGTATGAAGCACAAGGGCGGCAGCAAAGCTGGATAGTGGCGAAGGCTTAATTAGATGATGGTAAGATCAAGGCACGAATTATGGCCGTTTGAATGCAGTTCCGACGAGACAGGATGTGGGCCACGAGGACAAGTAGAACACACACGGAAGCGACCTCCTTCAGTTGCTCAGCTCTATTCAATGTTGCACAATGAGAGTGCGCGCCAGATAGTAAGACCAAAAGATCCTATTGTAATGCAGACGGTGGTAAATAAATAACTTTTGCTTACCAAGCGAAATAAACTAGAAGATATGAACAACTGACAGTAAAATGTTGAAGCGCGAGCACCCCTTGTTAGGCAGATGGACTCTTGTTAAGTACCACAAAGGTTTGCACGGTGCAGTGTCAACGTCAAGATAATTAACACAAAGAGGAGCACTAAATAGAAAGCGGGCCAGAATTTTAGATAGGCACTGGTTTCTATGCAAACTCGTCGTTTCAACACAAACATATGAACAACTTAGGTAATAATGGTCTTTGGATACAGCACTAATTTCGGATAAACACCATCATCACAGTCATTCTCAACGGCAGCAGCCACACACAAATAAGAAGTAATAGAAGCGAGCGGGAGCAAGGCATCAGCAATACGCTGGTATGCAGTACCGACGCTTAGATGTCACGCAACCACCATTAGTACTGTGTGGGTCAAGGATACTACGAGGGTTGCCCGGTCCCAACGCAAACTCAAAGCCGCGCCCTTGGATTACAAGGCAGGTGTGTGATCCTTAGGGCTACGGAGCGACAAAAAGTAGAATCCGATCGAATTATGCAAAGATTAAGAGACATACCGAGCACGCTCGATTAACACTGTGACAACCATCAGTCGAGAAGCTTGTGCGGTGGAGTGAACCTGAAATATTCACTCATTCGGGATTTAATAACACTGGATTTTTTGGTCCTTTTGCCTTGTAACCATTCATTCGTTTGACTGACTGCAGATCCCGATAATTTGCGCTTCTCCGGAGAGTCTTGCTCTACACTCCTTTGCGTTTGCCTACCTGCTCTTCATTCCTTGTAGCACTTCGTATTACACACTGCGTTCGGTCACTCTTATAGTTCTCCGTATTCTCGTGTTGTCGCTTGCGACTAATATCTGAGTAGCACCCAACATAGCGTGAAACGACCTCAACGAGACATGATAAATGGGGGTTTACTGTTCCTAATTATAAATAATAATATTTTTTGCATATTCACCATGCATAGCGTGAAACTGTGTAACCATATCAACAAGCAAATCCTCATTTCGATGTGATTCAGGTGTGTAGCTAATGGTGCTTTTGGGTTCCGGTTGGCACTTCTACCTGTTCACTCCACCATTCAAAAACAAGGCCAAGTTTCTTCATTTCTTTCCGCTAAACATGTCCACACTTTAGCTTGTCTGATCCGCAATATAATTCCTTATCTGTTATTCTAATGTGTTCTAAAAGCCGCCGATCCGTAGCCTTAAGGAGTACAAGCCTGATTTGTAATTTGAGGGCGCGGGTTCGAGCGACACTCGCAGTATCCTTAGTCCACGTGTGGTTGGTAGTGGTTGCGCGGCAGAGGAGCGTCAGTACTGCGTACCGACGTACTGCTGGTACCTTGTCCAAAAGCGGTAAAACACAACCCCCTCTAAACTTAACATAACATCAAGAATGTCAGAGTTGCTCTATCTCCCGATTTCTCTTCATCCGTGCCACCCCGCCTTCCTAGTTTACTGAAAATGTTGTCTAGTAGGTTTCACTGTTAGTCCGCGGACTACACTACATCTCCTACTCGATTATCCAACCGATTGTCGTAATCGGTGTCAGCAATCTATTCTCATGAATTTAAGCGAGTTCGTCGGTAGTTGGATGTATTCAATTCTTGGTAAAAGGACTAACTTTATTGTGAGCAGAAGGATCCGTTTAAGGTGCGGCAGAGCGGACCCTACAACAGTTTCTTGATGCTCTGGCCGTCGCAGAGGATAATAAACGGCGCCCTATCTGCTGCATCGAGCAGGGTGGATAGGGGTTTGGATGCTACTGCTCAGGCCTTCCCGTCTTCTTATACCCCTTCTTGCGCTTCTGCATCCTTATTGTCCCGCTCCAACTTTACTTATATCCCCCCCCCATTTTCAATCCCCCAATTCTCGGCCCTCCCCCAGCTTACTTCAATAGTCGCTTGTCTTCTAATTTCAAATCACACACAATCGCAGGGCCTCGCTCCAATCCAGTCGATAAGTCCATGTTCAACCAAGCGGACAACGTCAGTTCATCCGTTTCCCTTTGAAGTCCTCGTGTCTCGCTAAGATTGGCATGCCTCAACGTGCGCACTTTGCTGCAGATTGGCCAACAGGCAGCACTTGCCCGCACACTAGAGACCCTATCGATCGATATTTGCTGTTTATCAGAAACCCGCCTGCAAGATTCGAGCTCCGTGCTTACCCTGAGATCCCCCACATGCGACACTGGCGGCACATTCTCATTGCGCCTATCTGGCGATGATGCAGCTTCAAATGCCGGTCAAGCTGGCGTCCGCATTGTTTTGAGTCCCCGGGCTGAAGCTGCCCTGCTTGATTGGATCCCAGTAAACAATAGGATGTGCGCCGTTAGATTAGCTGGTTCGTTCCGTGCTTCGAAGTCGCGCGGGGACAAACGGTGCCTGTTTGTCATTGCGGCCTACGCCCCTACAAACTGTAGCACTGATTCGGTAAAAGATGATTTCCATCAGCAACTTCACGAGCTCCTTCGTTACAGAAGAAGCACGGATACTGTGGTGCTGGCTGGCGATCTAAACGCCCAAGTCGGAAAATTGTCCTCTGATGAGCTTCATCTGGGCGGCCAACATGGTGTAGGCTCCCGTAATGATAATGGTGAGCGATTGCTCCAGCTGTGTGAAGATGCTCGCCTGTTTCTCGCGAGCACTAATTTTCGACACAGCACCCGCAGAAGTGTGACTTGGCGGCCACCAGCCTCGGGCCAGTCATGGACGCAAATCGATCATATCGCGATCAGTTACCGCTGGAGAGGCTGTGTCCAAAACTGCCGCTCGATTTGGAGCACGAGCGTGGACTCTGACCACGCACTTGTATGTGCCGACCTCCTGGTGCGTTTCGGTGGACGTCCGCGACGTCGATGTGAACGGATTGACACTAGCCAGCTGGCGAAGTCAGATGTTCTGAATGTGTACCAAGATGCGCTGACATCTGCGCTGAGTAAGCGCTCACTAAACACCGTTGAAGATCACTGGTCGCACACTCGTCAAGTGTTGCTATTAGCAGGCATGTCTTCATGTGGCAAAACAAATTGCAAATCCGAACATTGGGTCTCTACACAGTCTCTGGAACTTATGGATGCTCGCCGACGTATTCCGGCTGGAAGCGAATACACTGAATCTCGCAAAAATCTCAGGGCGAAACTACGTGCTAGCCTAAAGAAGGACCGCGAAACCTGTAGCAGTCTGGAGATTCCCCGGTTTGCCTGTGTAAAATTCTAACCAAAATTCTTTAATTGTACACTTAGGCAACCGGTGTGGTTTGTTGAACTGATTGCTGAGTTCGAATGCTTTACTTGCTCATCGCCATTTTTTGCATGCGCTGGCTTCGGTTGCAACGCGCGACTGCTCTGTGTGCTGCGCTTGATCCGTTCCCCTAGCTAGAGCGTCCACGGTGTCGTTCATTTATAGCTAGGTCACAGGGAATCTTTTACTGTACCAATAAAAGTTTCCCTGCAACTCGATCTGTCTTCTGGAATCGCTCTCTGGGCTCCCGGAATAGGCAACCCTCTAAAAACCTGGTGGTCTCATCGTGCTTCTGAGATGGAAACAGCCGCTGCCATTGGTAATCATCGTAAGTTATACCGTCTGATATGGGCAACAGGCAGCAGGAGACCTGGTGTTAGCGAGACCATACGCGACGAGAGTGGGCATCCGATCCACAGCTTGTCAAAGCGTTTGGAGCGTTGGGCTGAACACTTTGCTATGCAATTTAAGCAACCTGAGTTATCACTTTCTTCGGGCATTGAGCGCCCTTCTCCTTGGGCCGTCTCCTTGGATCCGCCCTCACGCGCAGAAGTCGAACGTGAGATCAGGTTGTTGAAATTGCATAAGGCCGCAGGAGCAGATACTATTCCTCCAGCCCTCTTCAAGTTCGGTGGACCTGCTCTAATAGATGATCTACACGAGTTGCTAGTAAAACTTTGGGATCAGGAGACAGTCCCGAAAAACTGGAACCGCTCCGTCATTGTCCCAATTTTCAAGGGAGGCTCCTGTTTGGAATGTGGCAATCATAGAGGGATCAGTCTGATTTCGATTGCCTCTAAATTGCTTGCCTCTCTCATTCTCCACAGACTGACTGGCACTCGTGAAAGCCAAATTCGTGAAGAGCAAGCCGGATTTCGTCGAGGTCGGGGCTGCATTGACCACATCTTCACATTGCGTCAAGTGTTGGAGCACCGCCA